AAATTTCATATATAAAAAAAAAATAAAATAAATAAATAAATAAAAACTTTAAAAAAGTAAAGAAAGTAGTATATGTGACAACAACATTGAAATGTATGACTTTTGAAGACAATGTTTTGTTTCCACTTTCAAGTAGAGGTAAGATCCGACTACTTTTGAAAACCTCAGAGGAAGATTCTTCTCTCCATCCTTTGGGTTGACTTAGGAACAGCAGCTTGCCAACTATAAAGCGTGATACACTGATTTATACTACGAGGTAGTGGTTGTGGTACTCAGGCAGGATTAACGGATGGAAAAGTCTATTTTTATGACATGCCCATTTGTGATTCTTGGGGCAAAGTCTGGGTTGTTTTGGTTTTGGTTTTGATTTTGGTCGAAGTCAGTTTCTTTTGCCTTTCTAGTGTTAATGACAGCTCTAAAAAATGCAGGGACTAACAGTCCCTGAATGTCAGCTATCCCTTGTGCTACTATAGGCTTAGTTGGAAAGTATGAACTTCCAAAGCCTTCTTTGCTCATGAAACAGAGGGAGCTTTTTGTGAAGCATCTCATATCTTTTGTCACAATTTGCATTTTTGTACAGAAAATACTTCGCCATAAAGAACTAAACCACTACCTGAGATGCTATGGTGATGTCTGTAGATTGTCTGTATATCAGTGTTCTTAGTCCTTCCACTCTTTGTGAATGAGAGCATCACAAGGGGTCTTTAGTAAGACAGATTTGTATTTGATTCTGTTGGGTGGCTTGACTGAATCTTTTCTTTTTTTCTGAACCTCACTACTTTATCCTGGTTTTTCTCTTTGTACTGATGTGATCCTACGCAAGTTGTATAGCCTTTCAGTGTTTTCTCAACTATAAATGAAGGATAGTAATAGTACCTGCCTAATAGGTTTTTGTAAAGATTAAATAAAGTAATACAGATACACACTGTTTAGCAGAGTGCTTGATGTATAGTCAGTGTGTAGTCTATTTTATTGTTTCTGTTCATCGCTGTTATTCAGCACTTGGATTTTCATGTTTTTAAAGTCTTTTTTTCAATGGTAGTATATTTGCATCAGCTGGCTCGGGGATATTTTGGAGACTGCAGTGATTCACAGGTCTGGTGTTTATAGTGGGCATATCAGGAAATGTAGTTGGCTTTTTTTTTATTGCTACCACCCTTTGTCACCAAGAACATTTGTTACCTTTTTCCAATGAGTAGAGGAAAAGGTGAGTGGGATTAACTTTTCCCTCTACCCAGAGGAAACACCAGGCTTTGGGGGTATTTTGTAAATTCTGGAAAAAGGAGGAGGAACTTAGAATAGTGCTGAGCCATGTTGAACACGTGCTGAATTTAGAGACACGAATCGATAGTTGCACCACTGGTGCAGTTAGGTAAGTCTCAACAGCACCTGGAAATAAAAAGCAGGGAAAGTCGGCGGTTAGGGTAAAACAAGGTTAGAGTTTGATGAGGAAGAGGTGTTGAAGGCACTGGTGAGAGATGATTTAAGGAGATGACTCATAGGCTGTGGATAGGCAGAAAAGGAGGTAACGGCAGAGAGATGTTTAAAGATTATGGGACAACCAAAGATGGAGAGGTCAGGAGATACGCAGTCCTTACTAGGCTGAAGACCCAAGGTACTGGGTACAAAGGTTTGGAAGGGCTGACGGAATACGAAGTTTTGGTGGTGGGCCCAAATTGTAATTACAAGGGTCCTTATAAATGGAAAAGGGAAGGAAAAGAGATAGTGTCAGGATGATGCCCTATAAGAGATTCAAAGGCCAGTGCTGACTTTGAAAATGGGGGAAGAGGGCAAGGAGCCGGGAGATGTGGTCTTAGAAGATAAAAAAGGCAAGAAAATGACTCTTCTCTGCCTCCAGAAAGGAAGGCAGCTGTGCTTGATTTTAAGCCAGTACACCTTGATTTTAAGCCAGTAAGACCTATCTCAGACTTCTGACCTCCAACTGTATGATATTAAATTTGTGCTGTTTTAAGTCACCAAGTTTATGGGAATTTGTAACGTGAATAATAAGAAACTAATTCAATATCGTGGTGCATATGTATCCAGTCTGAAGGATCCATGCCCACCACAAACCTGTGAGGACCACCTTGCACTTAGATCACCGCTTTGACGTTCCTGCCCAGGCCTGCGAGAGGTTGAATGAGTCGGTTTCCCCAGCCTCTCAAGGAACACATATGGTTGGCTGGAAGCCATGGAGAACCAGTATGGAGCCGAATTCCTCCTGAATGGAGTAAGGAGGCCTGTTTCAGCCCAGAGGTGTGAAATCTTGGCTGGATTATTCCAGTAAATTCTCAGGATGCCTGGCAAGCTCCCTGGTTTGCAGCATTGTCTCAGTAATGTAAAGCTTGAGCCTCTGAATGGATGTCCCCTCCGTGGGCAGCCTGTGCTGCAGGTAAACTGGAGCGCTACCTTCACATGGTCTCCAGCTTGCTTATTTCCTCCACTCTCCTTACGGGTGAGTGGAGGTGGGCTAGGAAAGGTGGGGTTATAAAAGTAGAAGAGCACCAGAGACCTGCGGACCCAGCGTGGCTCATAATTATCTGGTCTCGTCACGTCTTTGTGGCGAAGAAGGGACTTGTCAAGCGTCGAACTAGAAGCTTAGCTCAGGCCATTTCCCTCTGCGTGACTTGGCAAAGAGAGAAATTGCCCATTACTTTTAAAAATGGAAGTCTTAGCTTGCCTTGGAAGGGAATCCCAGAGACGTCTGGCTGAGCGAGGGGTCTTGGTAGAGCCAGGTCAGGAAAAGCTGGGAAACGGAGCCGAGAAGGACAGCCAAGGGGGGCAGCACTGAGCTGGGGAGGGTGAGGGAGTGGGGTCCCCCGTGCCCCAGCTCGGCGCCCAGCACTCTCGGCCTGTATTTCAGCCAGGGAGGGCCGGCCTGGGGGGCCTCTCACTCGCCGTCCCGCCCAGGGCGGCTCTCCCGGGTCTCCCCCTATTTGGCCCGCGCGGCAGGGCTCTGGGCGGGGCCGGAGGAGCGCGGGGGTGGGAGGCCCGAGGAAGATGCGCGGAGTTGGCTGCGAGGCCGAGCGCGGAAGGCGGAGGGGTGGGGATCTTGGGTGGGCTGCCCCCTCCGCCCTGACCCGTTCCACGCCCCGCGGAAAGCGGGCGCTGCCAGTCGAATCGCTCCCCTTTCAGGAGGGAAGGGGGATCAAGGTAACTAGCCCCTTTCTGCTTAAAAAAGCCAAAGGAGATCGTGGGTAGCTTCGCAGCCGCTCCGTCCCACTCCTGGACCATGCACCCCTGCATCTTCCTGCTCGGCCACGGGCGAGGACTTGATTTCTTGAGCTGAGAGCTAAACCTCGTCGACTTTTCTTCTCCCCAACAACTGAATCATGCCATGTGCCCAGAGGAGCTGGCTTGCAAACCTCTCCGTTGTAGCTCACCTCCTTAACTTTGGGGCCCTTTGCTATGGGACACAAGCTCAGCCAGGCCCGGTGCACTTCCCGGACAGGAAGCAAGGTTAGTGGCTTTTCTTTATCTCCTTTGAAAACCGTGGTGGTGAGACGCGTGGAAAGTTGGTTGCTTCCCCATCCCCTCCCCCACTGGCTGAACTCTGCAAAGCCGTTTGGCTGAGTCGTAAGGAAATCTAGGCTGGGAGCTCAGTGACATAGGGTGTCTCGGAATTCATTGTTGAAGGTGGTGATTCCTTAATTCTTACTGAAAGGCGAGTATCCCGGATCTCTTTCACACCAACGCTGAGGCAGGAAAGACCCAAGTGATAGCTGGTAACGCCCCCCTTTTGTCTTCTCTTTCAATGCTGCAGTGTTTCAATCCTCTATTTTTCAAATTCTGAACACGGAAAATGATTTTTTTTTTTTTTTTGAGTTCCAATCACCACTGGCAGTCATTGCAGTATTTTCAGTTAGTTTCAACTCTGGACAGGGGAAGGGAAATGTGATTCCGGCCCCCTGCTGAGTGAGTTTGGCTGTGTTTTGGTTTCCTGGAAAGATTAAGGCCTGTGTTTTAAAAATAATTGTTCTTTTGGGGGAGAATTTACCACCTTAGGGGCTCACCTTTCTCTGTCCTGCCTTCTTGATCACAGCTGGCTGCATCTCCTGAATGTCATGAAACTCATAATGCTATAGAAAACACTGGAAGAGGGTGTGATGACAGTTTGGTGTTATTTAAGCCTAACACCTTGAGCAGAGCGACACTGTTTCCTCTGCTTTTTTATTGGACTTGGAAGGGTCAGAGACACTTTCCCATTTGGTAGGGAGTTCCTTGGGCCGTCTAGGAGAAACAGAGCTCCATCAAGGCCTGAGTGGCTGGAGAAAGTTCCCTGCACCAAGACTGCTAAGGCACCCTGTATGTGTCAGTCCATCAACCACTGACAACAGCCTTCTGGGGTTCAGGGACTGTTGTTACTGCCTCTGTTTTAAAGATGAGGAAATTTGGTGAGTTTATTGGCCCAGCTCACGGTGGAGTGAGGTTTTGAACCCAGGTAGCCTGGCTTCAGTGGCTGGCCTCTCAGCAATAATAGGGACAACACACACATACACAGACACACACAGACACATACACACTCTCACACACACACACACACACACACACACACACACACACACACACACACAGCACTGCTTTAACATCCATTAAGTCCTGTGTTTGCTGACTGTGCTCCAGTCTTGAGAAGCTTCCCTAGCATTCTGACCCCCTTAATCCCCAAGACCACTTGGGTGGCAGACATCACGAGCTTGTCTTTGTTGAGGATTTCCACACAGGATTCTGCCTACGTTGCAAAGTTCTAATACTGCTGAGAGCTCATCTGCTGTGACTTCAAGAGCCATCAGAAACAAGTCCCTTTGCTTTCCTTGGAAGCTGGAGCCCAAACACCACCGGGGTTAGATGTCAATCAGCCAGCACTTGCTTGTGTAAACGGTCCAGATACAATCTCCCACCCCCAAGTTTAAAATAGCAGCGTTTGTTTTTCTTTGAAAAACAGCCCCTTTGTGAAAAGTCTCTCTTCTGGCAGCACAAACAAAGCCTGTGAGCACTTCCCAGGGCATTTGGAGATGATTTGGTTCAAAGACACACATTCTCCTGGGTTGGTTTGCAGCTCCCCTTGCTCCAGATCTACTTTGTAAGCGAATTCAGCTTAGTATAGAGCAGACACTACCGGGCTTTGCTCTCTCCTGTCTGGAAGGTGAGAGGTGGTTGTTTTCCTTGGTTACCATTGGGATTAGGTGCTGAGGGTATTTGATATTGAAAAATAGCTGTGAAGTGCCCTGAGTTTATTAGCAATGCGCAGATATTTAGGTTTTAAAAGCAATTTGTTTTTAAAAGACTTTTCTCCAGAATATTTGTTTTTAATCAACTCACCAGTGGATTTACAAGTAATCTGCATTTGGTACAACAGAAATTTCTGAGCAGGCTTTATTTAAAACTGAGTGGAGAGAGGGAGAAAAACTGAGGTGGGGGGGGTGTACAGAAGGAGAGAGGTAGAGGGAAGGGATGAGAAAATTCTAAGGTTTCTTGGTAATAGGATGACCTGGTTTTTGCCCCAAATGACCAGCCTGCCATTTCACAATGAGCCAAACTCCCAGTTTCCATTTCTACTCTGACAACATTTTTGAATCGCACCCAAGTTCAGAACCTTTAAACTGGCAAATCACTTCATATATCATGTCTCCCATCCTTCTTTTTACAGATGAAGAGGGGGAGGGGCTAGGAGATGAGTCTGTCAGCACCTATTAAATGCCACGTCACCAGAGGGGTGAAAGGAATTACACAACATCCCACAGTTGGAAACGTTCTAGTCCCATATAATCATTAACGTTCTTTCTAGTTCTAAGGGTTGGGCAGAGGCAGGATTTTAGCCCTGGGAGGGAGCATGGAGGCAAATCCAGTCTTTCTTGGGACCAAAAATGGCAGATTTGACAAACTCTGCCCAGTATTCTTTCCACATCGCTCACTTGTGATATAGATACACGTGCAGTGCCTTCCACAAGATGTCTTGGTTCCCAACTAAGTATCAGAACAATGGGAAATACTGCTCTTGTACACAGCATACTGCCTCTCTTCTACAGCCAGTGACAGCCCCTTGGGGTCCTTATCCCCTTATCTCACAAGCTGTGAGATCATGACCTGAGCCAAAGTCGCACGCTTAACTGACACTTCAGCGCCACCCAGGCGCCCCTCATATATTCTCTTAATGAAAGAAGAGACTTCACAGTTTTAATATTTTATTTGTGTTAATTATCATAAGCAATTATGGTCTGGAGGTTAGTTGTCGTAGGGTTCGTGAGAAAATCCAACCTTGTGTGTTGTACTTTACAACTTTGAGGGGATCAACACTGTTCTCCACATTTTGACACATATAGTTTTCTATGATAAAAGTATATTTGAAAGGTTACAACAACCCGTGGAAGAGAATTATGAAAATGAACTATTACAGAATTTCATTGCACTTTTTATTAAGAGTCTTAGAAATTTATTGTTCTCTAAGATGAAAATAATCAAAGTAAAGGGTAAGTATAGATTTAACCTAAGCTATAAAATCTGGCAGGTAAATATTCTCTCACCTCTTTCCTTTCTTTCTAAGCAGAGGGTGAAAGATCGCTTGGTGTTGTGTATTTTCAAAAGCACTTGTGCCAACAGGCTCACTCAGATTTCTCATGAAGTATCATCCATGTTTGTGACCAAGGGTTTCAAGTCTAATTTTCAATAAGGCAAATCCAAGTATTTAGGGCTTATAATGTATTTCCATAAACCTGCAGATGGTAATGTGATTACAGTGAGTCTCAGTCCCCGCCCCTCCCCCCAGCCCTGTTGATGCCCCACCTTGACATCTGGTCTCAGTGGTAGATGCTTGAGAAGCAGCAAAGGCAGAGGTTAGAAGGGTGGGCTCTGGGGTCAGATTGCCCCAGAATGAATCCTCACCCCTCTTCATTGTCTTTTTTTTTTTTTTTTAAACGTTTATTTATTTTTGAGACAGAGAGAGACAGAGCATGAACGGGGGAGGGTCAGAGAGAGGGAGACACAGAATCTGAAGCAGGCTCCAGGCTCTGAGCTGTCAGCACAGAGCCCAACGCAGGACTCAAACTCACGGACCGCGAAATCATGACCTGAGCCGAAGTCGGCCGCTTAACCGACTGAGCCACCCAGGCGCCCCTCTCTTCATTGTCTTTTTACAGTGGAGGGAATGAAGGCTAGATGAGGGATGCTTAATAATACCTGTCCCAGAGAACTGTAAAGATTAGACAAGACCAAGTTGATATACTCTAAATGCTGTGCTTAACCATAGAAATGGTAAAAATGAGGAGCTCTTATTATTTCCTGACATCTTATTTCTCCATTCCTGTCATATCTCCTCTGAGCCGGGCTTTCTATTGGCCAAGGTCATAGCTATCTCATCTTCCAAACTGAGTACCTACCGAGAGGAAGCCAAGGTGAGCATGGGATTCTCCCGTCTCTGCTTGGAGGTTACATCTATTTATGGCCATGGTGATCCTTGGTGGCCAAGTTTCTATCTTTAATACTAATAGTAGCTATGGAGTGCTATTTGTCGAGCACTCTTCTAAATCCATTACATATATTAATCCACTGGATCCTCAAAACCATTCTAGAAAGTAGGTAGATACTGTTATTACGCCCTTGTGTAGGTGAGGCAAGTGCAGTTGGGCCACCACATAAGTCACACCCCTTATGTACGTGGCCTCTTATTTCTGCCCACACTTATGGGCTGCCATGGCTTCGCTGCTTGGTTTGCAGTCAAATGAAGAGGCAAAACTAGTCTTATCTCTTAATACTGTACCTGATAAATAGGCAGTTATTATCTCCATTTATTGCTGTGCAAATTGAGGCGTCTTAAAGAAGTCAAGCCGTTCTTTTCTTGTCAGATCATCATCCCTGGGGAAGGGGGGGGCAGGGGGCGGTGGTAGTATCACTTCTACTAGGTCATACTTTCTGCCAAGTGCACTGCTTATGTATGCGAAGGGAAGTGGCTAAGAACGTGGCTTTGAAATAAGAACCGTGAGATTTCAATATGGATAATATTGCATATTGACTCTGTGCCCTCTCGTAGGCTCAGTTTCTTCATCTATGAAAAGGGAATTCACTGAATCTGTGAATCACAGGTTGTGTGGGTACTGAATGAGAAGAGACCTGTGGTACTTGGATCATAGCAGGTGGTCATGAAATGGTTACTGTGGTTATTATCATTACATTATTATATAGCCAGCTTATGTTGGCTTTCCTAAAAATCCATTAGATCAAAAGCAACTAGGTCAAAGGCTCTAAATTTGTTTGCTTCTTTATTCTTCGAACAATAGTTGCTAGAGCTTAGGCAAGCTTTTTCTTTCATTTTATGCTTTCAAAAATCATGGTGAGTTCTTTGAGATGTATGTTCAGAGACAGGTCTTATAAGGGACACGGAACTTCTCCTGAGAAGAGTCAGCATCTGGGCAGTGACCAGTCCAATGGGACTGCTGGTCCCGTTGCAAGATGATGGCTATACTCCATTAAATAAGACTTTTTCTGCCCTTAACTTCCGTCCACTGCTCATCCTGGGGTAGCCAGAGGTGTTGCCATGAGTAGTAGAAGAGAAGAGTAACTGAGAATAATACTGTGGAAGTCAACCACATCCACCCTTGCCCCACCTAACCTGGCCTTTCCTCTCCTAAGGTCTGAACTTGGAAGGGCAGTGAAACTCTGATATTAAAGATGTCCAGATATTCCTTGGGGAGTAGGCAGTACAGAGGACTGAGTCAATTTGACTCCTAGGTCATGGCACACTAGCGTCATCATTTTGTGCAAAACCCCTTTCTGGTTTTATTTTTTTATGCATTTTTGTCCCCACTCCCATTCCTCCTCATGGAAAACCATTTTAATGGGTTCCATATGTATTTTTTTGCATATGTTCTGGCAGACTTTGTATTATTGTTTTTGTGTGCATGTATTTTCCATTGATGTAGATGGCTCTGCATTCACTTGTATTGTATCTTATTTTTCAGTGAACATTGTTTTTAAAGATTTTTCCATGTTGCTATGTGATCTATTGCTCCTAAGTGCTGCAATTAGAAGCAATGGGTCTGGATTTTTTTACACCTAAACATTGAGACTATTTATTAGTACCCAAGAGTGAAAACTCTGTGCTCTGCCCATATTTCATCCAAGGCAGAAGTGAACAATTTCACAAAGTGTGTTTGAAGGCAGTTGTCTGGCAGGGGGAGGGTGGGGTGGAGTGGGGTGGGGTGGGGGGAGGCTGTTTTATAAATGTATTCCATGAAGCCCAGTTCTTATAATGAACCAGACACAAACATACTCCCTGATACAGCAACACGTTACAAGCCAGGCTGCCACGTGCAAGGTTCTAGGCTCCAGAGGCTTTGGGAATAAAGTGCGGTGAACAAAAGGCCTTGTAAAATGAGACTATTCTGGGAGCTACAGGAAGTAAGGCCTTGGGTGAGGGTCCAAAGGAGGGAGAAAGAACTTCAACCAGGGACTTTAAGTGAAAGAAGAGGGGGAACTGGAGTTGAGACTTAAAACATACATGGGAATGCACAGAGTATTGGTAGAAAGTGCAAAAGACACTGTAGCTGGGGCGGTAATACGAACAAAGCAACGCAAGCTAGAAAGTGCAAGAAATCCATCTAGGAGGTGGCAAGTGGAATTTGTTTCTCTCTCTCTTCCTCCCTTGCTCCTTTTCTTTTCTTTTCTTTTCTTTTCTTTTCTTTTCTTCTCTTCTCTTCTCTTCTCTTCTCTTCTCTTTTCTTTTCTTTTCTTTTCTTTTTTTCCCTCTAAAGCAGAAGATTAGTTATTTTACCAAGTGGCTACTGGTTTGCTGGAAGTAGCCTGTAATCCCGAGTGATGATTAGCCCCTGCTAGAGAGACTCCTTGTTATTCTCAAACATCAGAATGAAGAGGAGGGGGCGGGGACTTTAAACACAAACGAGTCAAAAGGCGTGTGTCCCTGTGTGTGGCAGAGACGAGTGTTCCTGTCTAGCATTTTTTAAAGTGGCAGGGTTCATCTTACCCTTTTATTTTGTGTGTTTTGTAAAAATAAAAATAAACATCCAAGTTTCTTTAAGCAGCCTTTGCTACGTTGCAGAACACTTAGGCTGCAACGGGTGTGAAGTTTGTCAGAGTGTGTATGGTGGGTTAGCTGTTTTTTCATTTTCCCTCTAACCTGAGTTAATGGGAAGTTCCTGAGGCGTTTAAGCTCTTTGTAATAAACAGCCAAGCTCTGTGATTTGTACTAATGAACTCAAGCCTCGAAATATGAAATATTCCTTATACTGACCTTGCCCCTTTCCTAACAGTACTCATGCATTAATTCTCATTTTAATCTGTCTCCCGCAAAGCATCTGCCGTCCAGAGCTGTGCCTTTGTGTTGGTGCAGACTGCCACGTGTTGTCAAGGAGGGGCCCCGAGTCAATTTGAGTTGTTCAGGGAATTTACTGTTGACAGTACATGCGTGGTAGACACAATCTGTAAACTTCAAGTCAGCAGTGGTATTTTGCAATCTGCGAGCTGAGGTCTAAGTTCCAAATAGCAGAGCATTCACCTTGCCACAGACTCATCAGGGAATTCCGTCAGTTTTATTTTTCGTGTCCTTTTCTTTCAGCGCATTTTGTCAAGGCCCTGCCAGAATATCACGTGGTGGCTCCTGTCCGCGTAGATGCCAGTGGGCATTTTCTATCACATGGCCTGCGCCATCCCATCACCAGCGACAGGAGGAAGAGAGATTTGGATGGCCCAGAGGATCGGGTGTACTATAGAATTTCCCACGAGGAGAAGGACCTGTTCTTCAACTTGTCAGTCAATCAGGGATTTCTTTCCAAAAGCTATATCGTGGAGAGGAGATACGGAAATCTTTCCCGTGTTAAGATGGTGGCTTCCTCGGCACCCCCCTGCCATCTCAGGGGCACAGTTCTGCAACAGGGCACCAGAATCGGGGTTGCAGCACTCAGTGCCTGCCAGGGACTGGTGAGTGCCCGGGTCTATCACCTACCTCCCTTCTCTGTCCCCAGGCCCCTATAGTCTCGTCCTGCATGTCCAGCACCAGTGGGTTCACAGACACATTCAGCACATGCACATTGAACACTTGTGATGAGCGTGGTCCAGGCTGCCAAATGGGCTGGGGAGAAATGCAGAAAATCACATAAAAAGTGGATCGATCTGGGAGGTATGGAGAGTCAAGGCACTGAGGGTTCGGAGCAGGGAGGGTTCAACCGGGAACAGCATGGGAGGAGGGGAGGATTGGAGGTGGGTCTTCAGTCTCTGCGGCGGCTCGGAGGGTATTGTGACTGACTGGCTGGCCGGCCCTTTGGAGTTAGGAAAACCTGAATTTGGACTGAGAGGCTTACCAGTGGTGAGTAGCTGCTATGGCATAATGGCTGACTATGTGTACTTCGTAATCAGATTCGGTGTGGGAAGTTAGGCAGTCCGTTTATCCCTCTGTGCCTTTGTTTGCTCATTTGTAAAGTGGAGATAATGACAGTACCCAACTCATAAAAAAAGGGTTGGCAAAGTATGGCCCACAGACCAAATCTGGACTGCCTCTTGTTTTTTATAAATAAAGTTTTATGGGAACACAGGTAAGCTCATGTGTTTATACTGTGTATGGCTGCTTTCAAACTACAACAGCAGAGCTCAGTAGTTGGGATAAGGACCGTATGGCCCACGAGGCCCAAAAATTGC